AGCTGGCATTTTGACAATCAAGGGATCCGATTTATGAAAGTCCCCTAACTGTTGGGAATGAAAGAGTGACTGAACTATCCCGCTAGAAATTTTTCTTTTTACCAGGAATTATTTCTCTATTGAGAGAGGTCCTAGTCCAGACGAGGCGATGAAGGGTAAAAACTGACTCAGGTACAAAGATCATGAAACAGGACCCTCACTCTCCTAATAGATATTGGAGCCTTCACCCAACACCAATTCTGCATTCAGATAGTGTTTGACTTTCAGTTGTTTAATTAAATGCATCTTGTTTTCTCTAGATACACTCCTGTGAACCACCTTCAAATTATACATGTATAAATATATATTATATATAACATACAAATACATATGCATTATGTGTATTTATATATATATATACGTTTTAGCCCTAGGGATTAAACTCAGGGATTTTTTTTTAACCACTGAGTTACATTCCCAGTCTCTCTTTTTTTTTTTTTGAGATGGTCTTGCTAAGTTGCTGAGGTTCTCACTAAGGTTGCTGAGGCCGGTCTTGAACTTGCAATCCTCCTGCCTCAGCCTCCCCGGTTGCCGGGATTCAGGCACGCACCACTGCGCCCTGCTAAGCTACATATCTTGGGTTGGTGATCTCCCCGTGGTAGGTGTACCCTCCCCTGAGGCAGGGAGGCCCACGAAGCCGAATACTCACTTCAGTGCAATGGAGTACCTGCTGTTCCCCGACTCACTGTTGCGAACCAGGTACCCAGCTTCTCTGCAGGGCTGTAGTCGACTCTCAGCCTCCGCCCGGGTGATGGCACCATGATACCAGCTGAAAAGAGGGAGACGGAAGACGGAAAGTGCTGTGAGCATCAAAGTGCAGATCCAGGCGGGCTCTCTCTCTCTCAGGAGAGACAGAAGGCAGACTTGAGGGTCCCACCAACCCTGTCAGGGAGGGTCAACAGGGCTAGTGTCATCCAGAAGTCCCCCCAGTGTAAGGAGAATGCGCTGTAAAACCAGGTGCTTGGGATACAATGCACTGTCCAATCTGCACAATGCACCGAGCTCCCAAGATGGGTTTCATGGACAGGCCCCCCTCCGACAGGTGTTCACCAACAAAGAGCCAGGTGAGGGGTCAGTACCCGCCGCCTTGCTTATCTCGGGGTCAGTGAAGGACACTCACGGCTGCTTCTCCAGGGGCAGGCCTGGGTCCACCTTTTCCCCGTCGCTGTGGTCAGACAGGGCTGGCTTCAGGATTTTCTGGGTCCAGCTCTTCTGCCGGTGATGCTGCCTCACGGCCTCCTCCTTGACGGAAGGCCGCTCAGACCCTTCAAACTGGACTGGAAGGAAGAGTCCATTTACCACCCGAGACAGCAGAGGGGGCAGGCCGACTTCAAAGGAAAAACGCACCCCGCCCCCGGCCTGCCTTAGCTGGGGAAGAGGCATTTTCTCCTTAACACAGACTCTAACATGCTGCAAAACGACCCGGAGAGCCGAGCCCCGCTGCCTCTGCTACCCACGATCGCTGCCAGCATCCCGCGGACAGACGGCCACTCTTCTCTAAGATACTGATCAGCATCCGAGAACTTCAGAGTATGACAGGGAGCCAACAGGCTTCAGCATGGACTTTTAAAGAACTCCAAGTTTCAGTATTTTCAGGAAAAAAAAAAAGGCTAACCAGGTCCGGTGGTGGGTGCCTGTGACCCACCCAGGGACTCGGGCAGCTGAGACAGGAGATCACAAGTTCAAGGCAGGGCCCGAAGCAACGCAGCAAGAGCTTGTCTCAAAATAAAAAGGGCTGGGGATGAGGCACCCCTGGGTTCAATCCCCAGGACTTCCCCCCCCAAAAAAAAGAAAGAAAGAAAAGAAAGATTAAACCCAGTTATATGCACATTGCTTGTCAGAGTGTAGCACTCCATGAAGACAGACGAGCCAGCCAGGAACAGGGCTGCACGCCCGTGAGCCCAGTGACACAGAATGCCCGCTCGAGGCCGGCCTCGGCAACCCAGCGAGACCCTGCCTCAGAATTAAAATAGATGCCTAGATGGATAAGGGGCTGGGGACGTGGCTCCGTGGTTAACACACTGGGTCCAGTCCCCGGTACCAAAACACAGTTTTAATAATAAAATATGAACAGAAGTCAACCCAGGGCTGGGCATGTGGCTCAAGCGGTAGTGCGCTCGCCTGGCATGCACGGGGTGCTGGGTCCGATCCTCAGCACCACATACAAATAAAGATGTTGTGTCCGCCGAGAACTGAAAAATAAATATTAAAAAATTCTCTCTCTCTCTTAAAAAAAAAGAAGTCAACCCAGAAACAACACCACCAACCATATGTCGAAGATGCTGTGACAGGGAGACTGGAGAGAAGACAGAGAGCACTGGGGCTGAGAGGCAGCAGGTACCCCTGCAGATCTGCTGAAAACAAGGTCAAAATCACACCGAAATCGACTCAAAGGTTGGCTATCAAATATGCTCTCCAATTACATATCAAATACGCTCTCTATTCACTTTTCCACTGGCGTCTACTGTGGGGGGCAGCGCTGGGGACTGAGCTCTGGTCTTCACACACGCTGGGCCAACGCTCTACCCCTGTGCCACGCTCTCAGCTGCTTTCTTACTATCTTAGTTTGAGACAGGGCCTAAGTTGCCCAAGCTGGCTTCAGACTTGGCTCCTCCTCGCCGCAGCCTCCCGCGTGGCTGGGAACACAAAGGGAGCACCCTCACGTTCCACTATAACCAAGGATTTAACAGGCTTAAGAACAGCTCCATGGGAGAGTGAAGGACCTGCTCCCAATCTGACAGTTTCAGTGGGAGAAATAAACGACAGTTGTGATAAGCACTTCCAAAGCAGCTGCACACAGAGGAAAGAAAAGAAAGGTACTGGGGGGGGGGAGGGGGGAATGCAACATTAAGGGCACAACTTCAGTCCTGGGCTTTCCACTGGAGCCGGATTCTTAGATCCCTATCTATCTCAAATTCCTTGGAAAAAAGGAAACTTGCAGTAAGGAATGGGGAGAAAATAGAGCCGAGCATGACAGCCCCTGCCTATAATCCCCGCGGCGCTCGAGGCTGCGGCGGGAGGACCAAACCCGAGGCCAGACCTTGTCTTGGAAAATCAAAAGGTCTGGGATGTAGCTCAGCAGTGGGGTGCCCACGGAGGTTCCATCTCCAGGAAAGAAGAGACAGAGAGAAGAGAGGAGAGGAGAGGAGAGGAGAGATGGAGGGGGAGAGCAAAAGGAAGAACAGACAATCCAACAAGACAAGGCACAGCGTGACGTTAAAAACCCTCTCTTGGGCTGGGGTTGTAGCTCAGTGGTAGAGTGCCTCGCCTTGCATGCGTGAAGCCCTGGGTTCGGTCCTCAGCGCCACATAATAAATAAATAAATAAAGATATTTTGTCCATCTATAACTAGGGAAATTAAAAAAAAAAACCCTTTTAGGTATTTTGAAATACATGTGATTATCAGTATCCTCACCCTGCTGTGAGCTGGATCATCAGAACACAACACTCCTATCTGTGACTCTGTCCCACTGGCGGATCTCTCTCCTTACTCCTCCTTGCCCATCCCATCCCCTCCCCTCCCCAGACTCTCCTAACCACTGTTCTTCCCCGGACTTCGGAGGTGTTTTTATTATTATTAGTAGTAGTAGTAGCAGTAGTAGTATTTTGGTATTGGGGATTGAGCCCGGTGGTACTTTGGCCACCGAGCCACATCCCCAGCCCTTTTCATTCTTTGAGACAGGATTGCTTAGGGCCTCCCTACGTAGCTGAGCTGGCTTTGAGCTTGCGATCCTCCTGCCTCAGCCTCCCCGGCCGCTGGGGTGGCAGAGGGTGTTTTAGATGGCACCAAGTGCACACTTGGGCGGTGATAACTGGACCGAGCGGTGGGCACGTTAATTTCCCTGACTTGACCATTTGCTGCAATGCATACATGTATCGGAACTTTACTCGATAATTCTGCACAACGATGTGTCAATTTTTAAAAAGGAAATGCGTTTTAGGGAGGCCGAGGCCTGCTGCCCTCACCCGAAAGGGCGCGCACGATCTGCTCCCTCTTCCACTCCCAGGGCTGCTCGTACTCGGCCGCCGGCCTCTCGTCGTCCTCGGGCAGCCTGCTGTCCCCGGGCCGCGCCCTCCCCTCTGCCCGCTGGCCCTCGGTGGGCTCGTAGGGGGTGTCGTAGAGCTGCGGCGGCCTCCCCGGGAGGTCCTTGGAGCTGCGCCTCTTGGCCAGCGGCTCGGACTTGGCGCCGGTCTCGCCGGGCTCCCCGGGGCTGTCCAGAAGCTGGAGAGCCTTCACCAGGGGGTCCTTGGAGCCCCGGCGTCTGATTTCTGAAAAACACACGTCACAGCAAAACTTGAAGGAAAAGGTGCCACTGGGGGTGGGGGGGGACGAGGGGGCAGAGGCTGACCCGTGACCTCTGTCTTTCCTGGTGGAGGCTGGATAACTCCAGGATTGTTCCTAAAGGGGCCCATCACCTCCCAGCTGTGCTACGACTGCCAAAGCAGGTGTCCCTACTTCCTCCCTTCCTCACCTGAGCCAGGTAACGGGACCAAGTCATTAGAGGAGGGACGACATCAGAAGTCAGGCAGCCTCCAGGTGCCCCTCCAAAGAATAAGAAGTGGCCCTCCAGGGTGCTCCTCCAATGAGTACGCAGTGCCCTCGGGGACACCTGTGTGACGTCCTGATCCTGTCTGACTTTCTTGTCACCTTCAGCGTTGACATCTTGTCAGGAAGCCCAGATCAATGCGTTTTTGTTTTGGGGTGCTGGGGATGGAACCCAGGGCCTCCTGCATGCCAGGCAGTGCTCAGCCACTGAGCTAGAGCCCCAGCCCCAGATCAAATTATTTTAATAAAAATGGGCTGACGTTGATGACATCCAAAGTACCGCTCCAAACACGCCCAGAGAAGCTATTTGCGTGCACTAGTCAAAGTTCTTCCACTCAGTCTAATATAGTGGGGAAGCCAGGCACATTTACATAAAATATGCATCAGGCTAATAATTGCAGGATAAATCAAAGTAAAAGAGGTGTGAGAGGGAAAAGCAATAATTACTCAAGAGCCGACACTCGTCAATGGCTCCCTGTGTGTTCAGCGCTATTCCAGGAGGGTTGTGATTCCCACCGCCGCTCTATGAGATGGGCGCTGTTATTTCTCCATTATTAGAAAAGAGAGAACTGAAGCACAAAGAGGTTAAGGAGATTGTGCAAACCAATAAGCCGGAGGCTGGGCTTCGGAAGTCCTACTCTCAGCCACTCCACCTGGACTGACTCCAAGTGGAAGAGAAATGGAAGAGAGTTGACTTTGATATGAAAGGTCCTTTCCAGCGGAGGAGGCTGCCAGAGTGAGGGTATGGAGTGGGCACCGTGGGGCTGGTTTCCACGGGGGAGTCGGGGAAAGTCGGAAGGCCCCGAGACCAGACGGGAGGGAGGCTGAGCGGGAAGGCTGACCTCGAACACAGGCCAGCGAAAGTCCCAAGGCACGTACTGAACTGAGGCATAGAATGGCTGGAGAACCCCTGCTGTCCACCAACTGACCACCAGTTACCGTGGGGTGGGACCGGCTGTGTTTACCAGCTGGGGTCCAGGAGCCTTGGGGGTCGGCTGGAGATGACCAGAGTGTGGACCACTACGGAAGCACCAGGCTGTGGCTCTCGTAAATACCCACCAGGAGGCCTTCAGCCCACTGTCTACCTGGTCACCGTCGCACACAAAGCCTCGTCTCCTCACGGAGCCCCTCACGCGCACTCAACTATCTACCTTCAAAGTGCAAATCCCAGTGGGGCGTGGAGGCAGCCCACGACCAGCTCACCTCTCCCCCTGCAACCCACCCCTGCGCTCCAATTCCTCTAACCAAATGGAGCTTCGGCAACAGCCTGCACGCGACCCTGTCTTTCACCCACCGAGGTCTGGCACCTTCTTGGCCTCGACGTCAGCCCCTCCTCCTCCTGGAGAAGACTTTCCTGCCCACTGCTCCTCTCAGGCCTCCCAGAGTTGGTCAGGCGCCACCGCTGGGCCAGCCCTAGGTGTCTATGCGTCCAGTCTGGTGGGCTGGGCGGAGACCCCCACAGCTTGTTTACGAGGCAGGACACGCAGCTGTGCCACACAGTGAGTGGATGGGTGGGAGGGGGCTCCAGAGCTTCTCCAGGAGGTGACTATGGACGTGGCTCTGCAGGTACGTGTCAGGGAGTGAGGACGGATGGATGTTAACACTGTGAGGATGAAAGCCATCAAGAGAGAGAGGGAGGAAGACCGCCAGGGCCGAGGCAGAGCTCCTCCAGTTAAGGGCGTCTGGAGGAGGAGGAGCCAGCAGGAGGTGAGAATGCCGGGTGGGCTGAGCAGGAAGAGACTGAGGGAAGGTCGGGTTGAAGGTCGTGCTGTGGGAATGAAGGAGTTAGGACTTTCCCCTCTAACAGCCACGCCCTGCTCTCTGGGGGCCGGTCACTGACTCACTAGGACTTCAATAACAACGAGGGGCCACAGATGGGGGAACGAGGATAAAATCAGGACTGTTTCCCGGCTGCGGTGCAGTCGCGGTTCTAGGTCACTGGAATCACGGGGTGAGCGGGAGGGAGCACTGCCTGCTGCCTGGGTCCCGCCTCCACAGGTCCAGTGTCCTTGGTCTGGGGGACATCCTAGGAGTCGGGGGTCCTAACGAAGCCTAGGGTACTCTCCGCATCAGAACACGATGCCGTGAATGTCCCCAAGGCGGGTCAGGGGCTGGGGCTGAGGCCAGAGCGGCATCTCCTGTCCCAGGCCACCGACTCTCCATCCCACGGCCTCTTTTTTTTTCTTCATTGCCTATTCTCGATGGAGATATGGAACAAGAAACAAAACATATTCTGTTCTTGGTTCAATTACGATAAGGCTGGCATTTAAAAAAAAAAAAAAAGAACTTTTCTAAAGAACTAAGAAAAGGGAAGCAGAAAACACAAAGGAATTCAAAGCATGAATTTAGAAACTGTAGGTTTCTCATCACAAGTTGTTTCGCCTCCGTCGAGACTGTCTGGCAGAGTCTGGGGACGCCTTCCACAAGGTGCTGCCTTCAATTCTGCCCGAGAAGCCCTTGATTTCAACCTCAAGATACGAGTCGAGCTCACATGGAAATTTCAATAAATCTGCATTCAGATGAGGTGTGGTGATTGGAATCCGGGGTCCTTATTACACATGTGTTTGAATTTTTCCTTGCTAGGAGGCCCTCCCACTCCTGTTTGGGATAGCCTGTGCCCAGGTCTGGGAGACATGCTGGAAAACATGTAGCTCGGACCCTCCCTTTCTTTGCATGGTCTTGGGATGGGGAATCTGCAAAGTATCATCACCTCTGGCAACAATGTTTAACCAGGGGAAAAGGGGTTTGGATACAGCATCCTTCCCGCTTCCAGGGGAGTAACCTCCCAGTCCCCTCCAACACCTGGCTGCCCCCAACCTGAGGCTCCATAGAAACAGAAACAATCGTGGGGCTGCAGCCGACCCTTCCTGCAGGGAGAATGGCCCCTGACGTGCAGAGCTGGCTCCAGAGGAAACAAGCCTGAGAAGGAGGAAATGGCAAGAGGAAGCTACGCCCTGGCCCGATAGAGGCCATTTACCGCGGCAGACAACAGAGTGCAGTGGACGGGCCACCGATAAACACGGCAGGCAGAGGAGGAGGGCGCCCCGCACCAGCTAAAATGGCAGCTGGTGGGTGTAGAACCTGACGGCCCAAGATTCCCCCTTCGGAACTCCCCGTTCTCCCTGCCATAAGGAAGCCATTTGTGTTTAAAAACGTGGCAGAAAACTTTTTCAATGAAGTTACTTACAGTTAGCGATTAATATTATTCTACGTTGTCCAGAATTTTCTTTAAAAATGGGATTTGATTCTTCCTGCAGTGTCTACACAGTGGCCACATTTTGGGGGTATGCCAGGTACAGGATGGTGCAAGATCCCAGGGAAGCCCCAGAACGCACCACAGAAGTGTCGTCCCCTTCACAGGGGAGCGAGCACACTGAGGCCACGGTCACGCGGTGGTCCGTGGGCGCCATTTATTACAGACGCAAGAGCTCATGCTTCTCTGCCTCTCTCTGTACTGGGGACTGAACCCAGAGGCACTCTACCCCTGAGCGACACCCTAGACCCCTATTTTTTATTGGAGACAGTCCCACTAAGTTGCTGAGGTGGCCTATAACTTGGAACCCTCCCGCCTCAGTCTCCAGAGTTGCTGGAATTACAGGTGTGAGCCACCACCCCTGCCCGGAGCCCAAGGCTTTCTCTGCCATACCTTCATGTTCAGAGGACTTCAAGTAAAATATTAATTTCAGTTTTAAATAACACATGTCTCCCCTTAATCCCTTTCATTTTTTCCAAAACATTAAACATAAAGCCCCGTAGGGTTCTTGTTTCCTCTTGGAAGCAGAAACAGGGATATTACACAACTTTTTTCTTTTCTTTTTGATACCAAGGATTGAACTGAGGGATGCTCCACCCCTAAACCAGCTCAACCCCAATCCCCAGCCTCTTTTATTTTTTCAGACAGGATCTTGCTCAGTTGCTTAGGGCCTCACTAAATGGCTGAGGCTGGCTTTAAACTTGTGATCCTCCTGCCTCAGCCTCCTGAATCCTGCTAGGATCACAGGCATGCACCACAATTTCAGCCTAGGCAGCTTTTTTTACTTACATCTTTTATTAGCGTTAAGCTTTTGATATGAAATTAATATTTTCTTGTCAAATAAATATCTGAAAAAAAAAAGGCCAGTATAATTCAGAAACCCTGACATTTAACAAGGAAATTAGAGATAAATCAAGATGTCTTTGCTGGGGATTTATGTAGCACAGTGACAGGTGCTTGCTTAGCATGAGTGGGTCCCCGTCATTTGATCCTCAGCACTTCAAAAAAAAAAAAAAGTGCCCATGTGCCATGTGTATTTATTTTCTATGATAGTTTTTAAACTACAAACCCCAATAGTGAGTTCTCCTTTAGACTGTCTATTTAAACAAACCCACCCAACCATTTGGGGAGAAAAAAAATAAAAATGTAAAAATGATCTTTGACCCGTGCTCAAGAGCCAAAACCAAAGGTTGCTGAATGACCTTGTACGTCCCCTCTTGGCTGGGGAATCTGGACAAGTTACTTCATGTTTCTGAACCTAGGTTTCTTCAACTGTGTAGAAGGAACCAATCTTACAGGGTTGTTGTAGGATTTAGTGGGGTAATTGGGTAAGTCTGGCAGCCAGTAAGCCTGGACTTGCAGCTGTATGATACCAAGTCTGAAAAGAATTTTCATGCCAACTAATGGCTACCTTAGGGAACTTCTAAAGACCCATCCAATGCTCGAGTGGCTAAAAATCACAATGCTAAATTATGTAGAATATTTCTGTGAAGTACTGAGCTAAAATGTTCCTGCTAATTTAGCAGAAAAACAATACAGCCTTACGTTAACATTGCCTTGTATTCATAGTCATATCTTTTTATGAACAATCCTTTGAATAAATCTCAGCAATAATTTCTTTCTCCAGATAAAGAGAAAGACAAGAACCAAAACCCAACACTCTCTTTCAATGCCAGGGACTGAGCCCAGGGCCTCGTACATGCTAGGATGTTCCAAAATTTTATTAGTAGAAAGTAATGCCTGGGACCAGGAATATAGGTCAGTGGTACAGTGCTTGCCTAACATGCATAAAGTCCAGGTTTTGATCTCACCACTGCAAAATAAATAAATAAATAAAAACAAAAACAAAAATTCAGAAATTTAGACTTGACCACTAAGCATACAAGGAATTGAATAAAAAAGGTAAAAGGTTAAAAAAATAGCAGCAAATCTTTGATTTCTAGCTTCCATAAACTCACTTCCTGTTTTTCTGTCCAGCTGTGTTATGAGTAGACTAAGAGGTAGATTCTCCACATTGATCAAGATATGTGATATATATTTTAACGAATAATAAAAAAATCTTTAAGATCACTATTATATGCTTTTTAAAAAAATAGCTTTATTTATTTATTTTATTGGTTCCGGGGATTGAACTAAGGGACACTCAACATCCCCAGCCCTATTTTGTATTTTATTTAGAGATAGGGTCTCATTGAGTTGCTTTAGTGCTTCACAGTTGCTGAGGCTGGCTTTGAACTCGCAATTCTCCTGCCTCAGTCTCCCAAGCTGCTGAGATTACAGGCGTGCACCACCACGCCCAGCTAATATAACGCTTTTTAAGAACAAAATACTATATACTTATATTACTAGTTTAAGAAGCTACTAATTTAGATTTCTAACAAATTTGAATTTATTTACCAAAGGAGTATATTAATTTTGTATTCTTAAGTGAATTTATTCACAAATTGTTTCAGACAGAACCTGGACCGTAATACTCAAATATTAAATGCTAACTATTATTATTTCATGTTGGACAATTTTGACTTTTTAGATATTTGTTATTTATTTTTAAATTTTGAGCCAGGGTCTTGCGAAGTTGCTAAGGCTGGCCTCCAACTTGTTATCCTTCTTCCCCAGCCTCCCAAGTTGCTGGGATTACAAACATGTGCCACAAAATTTTGACTTTAAACGTCTGTAATGTTCTTAGTGAGTGGAGAGATGCCCTACACATGGGTCAAGTTCACAGTGCTTTTGCACGTGCCATTTCAAGGGTGCCTGAGCGCCTCGTGGTGTTGGGGGGCAGGCCACTCGGTTTGGAGTGGGAGATCTGGGTTCTAATTCCTGCTCTGTGTCTTATTTAAAAGTCTTGTGATTGTAGAAAAGTCTGAATCCCTCACGTCTTGTTTTTTCACCCTGTACCAAGAGGGACAGTATTGCAGTCCTCTGCCTTATAGAACTCTCTGTGGGGGTTACTTAAAACAAACCAATCAACCAACCTATGTTCAGTTTTTTAAAACACAGCATTTTCCCTGTTATCAGCAGGACTCCCGATAACCAGGCGACACAGTTCAGATCAACCGCCTACTCCAGTGAAAGAGAAAGGCAAGAACAAAAAGCCAAAGACAAAGAAAGGTGAACCAAAAAGTTAAGCATGAACTTCTTTTTCTTTCTAGAGAATCCTTTCCCTCGGTCCTATGTAAAGGCCGATCCTTTCCCTGTTCCTCTCAAGCCGCTGGTATTTTTTAAAATTCTGACTAAGTTCATTTTCACTTCCTCTCATTCACAGATTTCATTAAGGGTCACAGTCCAGTGACCTGAGGGTCACAGCCTGGCCAGGGTACACCCTCCCCAAACGGGATGCCTTATCTCTGTAAGCAGAGAGGCAGGAAACGGAGCCGAGCTTTCCTGCGCCAGCCCCCGTTCACTCTGCGCCGGTCTCGGCCCTTCCAGGCCCTGCCACTGACCCTCTGCTCACGGCGCGGAAGCTGGCGGAGGCAGCCTGGGCTTCTCAACTGTTCAAACAGTCTCTAACGGGTGACCGACGGCTCCTTCCCCAGGCATGAACCCCAGGACGCCGGAACAACTCCCCTGAGTCAACACTCAAACTGCATTTTCCAATACAGAGTAGGTGAACGAGTGATTCACTCTAAAATTTCCAAATAAATCAAATAAGTAGTCTGCATCCTTTTGATTAAGCCTTGTTGATACCACCTGAAGAGCACTGCGGACAAAAAGGAAAAGCTTGACACCAGAAGTGACAGCGGGCTGGCTTAGCTCACAACTGCAACAGTTTTCAGTTGAAAAAAAAAATCAGTCTTAAAAATTGGTTTGATTTTAGGTGGGATGGCTGGTTAGTGACAGTGATCGCTGATGATTCCTTAGTAATTTGATATTGTGCTCCAATTCAGTAGAAAACAATCTACTCAAATATCGAGGATTCTGTCATGTTGGCAACTTTTCACAACTGGAAATCCCTTAAGTATGTATTTGTCTCTTGGTCCCGACTTAGAACTCCCACTATGGACGGCAAAGCTTTGAGCTGTGGCCAAGAAATAGACATAACCAACCCTAAAATTGAAGACCACACTCTGAGCCGATGGGCGAACTCCCAAGTGTCATCCGGCAGAGAATTAGAAAAACTTAGAAGAAAAACCAAACTGCCGATTCTAAAACTCGGAAGGTCCCTGAGGCAACATTTTAGTTCTGAGTCTGATTTCTGCTTTTTCAGGTCAGCAGGATCTGGTTTAATTGCTTTCTCCCTCCCCGCCCCATAGACTCTGGTTACCAGATTATAACACTTCAAGGGAGGGGGAGATTTCTGTCCCTGCCACAAACCTGTTATCATTTGCTGGGCATCATAGGGCTCCATGTAACCGTCATTCTCACCCACTCTCTCTGCATCCCGCTGACCCTTTGTCCTTTTGGCATCGTAAGGGTCAGCGTAGTCTTCCAAAATGATGACCTATCAAATAACAAGACGACAGTCACTAAAGGTGGCCATATACCAAGTGGTAATACCATCAAGACGGCCCCTGGAATCTCCTGCAGATCTGAAGAGAATCACAGTCTCCCGTGGGTTCCGGACAGCTTTCACACTTGACCATGTGTCTCCGCTGGACAAACGACTTACTTTTAGTCTTGGTGATACAACTGATTTGCAACCATTCCTATACACTCTTTCACTTATCCCCGAAATTCCTCTTACCTTCTTTTCTCTCCCCAAGCGATAAAACATTTGTCAGTTAGAGGGTGGTGGGGGTGGGCAGTGGGAAATACAGGGCGTCTACGGCTCAGCATATAAAAAGGTGAACTGGAGCCTGGGCCGTGGTGCAGGTGATTCCAGTGACTTGTGAGGCTGAGGAAGGAGGACCACAAGTTCAAGGCCAGCCTCAGCAACTTAGCAAAACCCTGTCTCAAAATAAAAGGGCCACTGACGTCTGGGTTCAATCCTCACTACCTAAAAGGAAAAAAGACAAAAAGAAAAGACTAACTGGTCTACCACATACCCCGTGTTGTGAGTCTTCTAAGCCCAGTCAGCTGAGCACTGGTCACAGTGAGTCAGTCAGTCCCAGCACGCGGGGATGGGCATGGTGAGGGAGTCAAAATGAACCCAAGACTTGCTTCTTGCCCTCAGGAATTTTAAAATAGTTCTAGAAGAGACAGACTTCATGAAAGAGAAATAATTATAATAATATAATAATTATAATGCTGAACAGTGTTATAGTAGCTCAAGGTTCAGCGATTCACAGGCTGCCTGATTCTCTGAGATCAGATGGTTTTGATGGTATTTGTGTCTGAGAACAGTTATCTTTCCAAAAGGGAAGATACCTAGAGAGAGGTGTGTGCCATGACTCTATTCTGGGTGACAAGTGACCCTTTTCAGGAAAGCAGCTCTGGACCTATTCCACCACCTCTGATATAAAACAGTCTCCAAAAAGTTCCTGGAGAAGAGCCACTGGAGCTGGCAGGAAGATAAACGAGGGAGGAGAGGGGGACAGGAGAAGAGTTCTCCACCCGGGGGGAGATGGCCAAGAAACCTCAGACCCCAGAAGCGGTGCCCAGGAAACAGCCAGCAGCCTGTGGAGGGCTGTGATGACCCCTCACTCCGTCTCTTCTCCTGGACCACCACCATGTGCACTGCAGCTGCAAGGCACAGACGGGATACTGGGTCCCTGGTCGGGTGGACACCCAGTAACCTGTGGGCTGGGTCCTGTCCATCTTTCTGTTCTCTCTACTCGGCGCCTGGCATAGGGTGGGCATGCTGTGAAGACTGGGGGCAGAACTGAATGGAGGAATGAATGCAGGTGCCCAGAGCATGCCGCGTGGTCTGTGCTTCAGGTTCCTGACTGTCCAGGTACGCAGCATGTTTGAAGGCTCACAAGAAAAAAATTAAAGTTCCCATGACAGGAAGCACTTGCCTGAATGAGTCTCAAGATCTCAATTCGAGGGCCCCCCCTCCTTCTCCCTCTTTCATGTGGAAGAGAAATGACCCAACCCAACCAACCAACCAAATCAGCTCATTCCTGTAAGAATGGCGAGTCTGGGCTGGGTTTGTGGCTCAGCGGTGGAGCGCTGGCCTCACATGTGTGAGGCACTGGGTTCAATCCTTAGCACCACATATAAATAAATAAAAAGTTTTAGAAAGCCCATCAACCACTTAAAAAAAAAATGCAGAGTCCCCTCCCATGTCCACATCCCTTTTCTTACTTTCCCACATTGGACAGCACCCAGAAAACCTCCAGTGAATCAGAGGCAGGAAGTACCTTCTTCTTTCCTGCTCAGTAATTTCCTTAAGGGCATTTCCTTGTCATAGTCCCTTAAGCTTCAGTACCGTGTCCCTTATCCTATGTGACTACTGCACAGCAAATGTCTGCAGAATGAATGGAAGGACTGTCATCTTGCAGGGCTGCTGAAATTTTGAGAAACCTTTTATTAGGCGTAACTGCAGGGGACGATGAAATCCCAAAGCCAGCCCAGAAGTGGGTGCCCCCCCCCATTTCCTGAAGCTTCCAAATCCACACCCACCCAGTTACAAGGTGACCATTCCTTATGCTCTAGGATAGACATACACAAGTCTAGCTTTGCAGATGCCCTGGATGTCAAAATTAAAATAAACCACATCTATAAAGGGGCCCAATTTACCACTTTCAATTACTCTTTAAGCTAACAAAACTAAATACAGGGATGTGGCTCAGTGGTGGAGTGTCCCTGAGAATTTCAATCCCTGGTACCAAAACAAGACAACAAGAGCAGAAAGCCCCAAACACTAAATACATTCATTAGTCCATTTCTGCAAAGTTCTCCAGCCCCAGGACGAGGATTTTCCAGGCTCATATGTACTGGAATGATTTCAAAGGATGGCTCGGGAGTCACAGTGCGAGAGTGAAGGACGGACTTTGGGGGTCCGGCCTCCCTTTCTCTTAGGTGTGAAGCCTCCTGCTCAGGGGCTCATGGTGGTCCCCTGGCACTGAGAAGTGGCTCAAGGGAGGGTGAATTCTTACCGTGTCCTGCTGCTTCATCATCTTGCCCTTGTCCAGCTCGGGGCCCAGGGAGGAAGGTGAAGAGGACGCAGAGGAGCAGCTGCTGCTGGTGCTGCTGGTGCTGGTGCTGCTGCCGCCGCCGCCGCCGCCGGGGTAGCTGCTCTTTCCGTTCTTCTCCTGGGTGTCCACCTTGATGAGCCTGTTGATGTAGGTGCTGCAGCCCGAGCTCTTGGCCGTGCCCCGGTGGGGCTCCTCCTCCGTGGCCCGGGAGTTCTTGCGGCCTTTGCCCGCCGCGGCCTGAATCAGACCCTGCAGGCTGTCCCGGGACAGTCGGCTGTCCTTGGGGGCGCCGCCGGCCCTCCCGGCCCCCAGCTCGGCCGCCGAGTTCTTGCGGCCCTTGCCGGGAACGGGCCCCGCACCGCTGGCCTCGGCGCTCCTGCGCGGCTTGCCGCTGCCCGCGCCCCCGGGCTTGGCGCGCTCGGACACGGTCTTCAGGTTCAGCGGGAACTCCTTGAACCACTTGGCGGCCATGAGGGGGGTCCGGCCGGCGCGGCCGAGGAGCGTCGTGGCCGCGGAGCACGCGAGCGAGGAGGCCCAGCCCAGGCAGCGAGAGGCGCCAGGGGTC